CCCACGATGAGCCGCCAACTTGGATCACTCCATCGATCAAATTCCCATCCAACCAACCTTACCTCTTCAATCCCAATAATACCACTTTTTGCTTTTCCGCCACCCGATTTTCCATCTAGCAATGTAACATCAGGCATGAATTCCGACACTAACTCACAAATTTCAGTTTTATACTCCATTTCACAGCTAAATAACCCGAATATTGAAACCCCCGACGAATTTGCCGACTCAGAACCATCTCCATCCAATAATTTTCATAACCCTTCTCATTTTTCTCAACCTCCTTTTCAACCCATATTATCAAATAACCCTGACCCAATCACTCCTACACCCTCTTATGCTTCCCAAGTTACCCCAACCTACTCCTCATACCATTCTGACCAATCATCTCCAGACACCCCCCGAATCTCCCCAGAGCTAGACAATTTTATTACCCTCCAACAACAACCCTACCACCTTAACACCCCGACCATAAACCAAATCTCCTCCACTACAAATTCATCCAATCCCCCTACACCCTCTTCAAATTATACCGAATCATTAGCACCATCATCCACATCAACTGAATCCTCACTCAACACTAATAGAGCTTATCGCACTTTTAAAAGAAAGTTCCCCAACCATCCTTTCCCAGCAAAACCAGGAACAGCCCGAGAATACATCAACCACCCCCAACATACTAACACTAGAGAATTTTTAGCCATCACTTTACCCTCATTTCCACAATACACCTTAAACACCCCTCATGACGCTAACGAAACACGCAACTTTGTAGACGAATACGTTTTAATGCCCACTCTCTCTTGGACCTCATACTATCATTTCACTAACCCTCTTTGCTTACCTTTAACTAACACATCCATTGATATAGACCGAAACAAAGACATGCTATATCGACTAACTACACCACTCACCGCTAGACAATTTACTTACGTTGGATATAAAAAATCACTAAAAATACACACTGCACCTAGAGCTAACGAATACACACTAGAATACTATGATCACAACATCATCAGAGCTAACCAAGATCAATTCTTAGACGACGATCGCTTCGCTAACCCACAAATCACCGAGAAATTTTTCATCAAGACACCATATGTATTTACACTAAACATCTTCGACCGAAAGTTTGATCACATTATTTCAGAAGCACTAACAAGCACACAAGCGTACGAAAGTTTTAAAGAACGCTTCCAAATCTTTTCACTAACCTTTCATTTCCTTGCACCACACGAAAGAGATTTACACTGCTCACACGATATTATGTTGCGAACTAAACAAACACATACATACAGTTACTATCGTTTCATCCAAAATCACTTTGACCTCCACACACCCTCTAGACAACCACACCATCGCTTTCAATTCATCAATTCAAAATACACTTCACCGTATTTCCTAAATTTCACATATTGTATTAAAAATACTAACCTTCATGGTATTCTTCGTAATTATGACCCCATAACCTAAATGTATATTTTCTGCCCCATCACCAAGACCTTCAACGCAGAAGAATCCCGACCCTTCCTTATCCCGCACGAGTTTGTACAGCCTATAGAAATCCCCATTTTAGAATTCATCCACAACACTAAATTTAACCACAAGTTATATAACTTAATACAAAACACACCTTATGAGTTTGCAGTAGGCACTGAAGAACTAACCACTATTAAGGCACTTCAATTGCTTTGGCCACTACTTCAAACTAAAAATATCATCCGCATCTTAGCTAAACTACTAACAACTTCAGAACTAATTCACGATATCTTCCCCCACGGTTTTTTCCCCGACGACTAACAGGTAAGTATGAACTAAATGAATATTACTAACTAATTAAAATATTGAAAAACTCACCATTCCTTATTCATGTTTTCTTTAGATTTTTAGCCTTCATCTTCAATCATCTGAAAAATTCACAAAAGAAAAATAAAAAATAGCAAACTTCTTCAAAACTATTTAAAACCCTATTTAACTTTTGCACCAACAATTAAATAAATATAATACCAATGCAGTAAATTAATTTATAAAATTTTCCCCTAAAAGCAGTAAATCTACATATGATGAAAATTTGTATCTTAAAATTCCCCCATTACTAGCAGTAAATTTCCAAATTCTATGCAGTAAATTAATAAAATGCAATTGCAGTACTAACCTTTTGATATTTTCATTCATTCGCACAGAAATTCTATCCACACTCGCACAGCTCGCCCACGAAGAATTGTTTAAAATAATGAATTTCAGTTTCAAGTTTTCACACTCAACAACTCTAACAAATAATAACAAGTTTCAAACTTTCCTTTAACCCGGTTGGAAAGGAATCATATACTAAACAAAACTAACCAACGCAGCTTACTAAATACCACAAATCATAAAATAACAGCATGACTAAGAAAAGGAAACCAACGGTACCCAAACCGGATTAACCCAGTTTAAAACTGGATAATTTATTCTTTTGAAGACTATTACAAAGTCTTAGAAAGAAATAATAAAACACAAAAAAGTCAAAAGACAAACCCATACCACAAACAATTTGCTTTTTGGAAAAAGTACATAACCAACAAAACATAAGTAAAACCACAACAAACCCAACATAAAATGTTGTCACATAACAGGACCCCTCATAAAAACCGCATGAAATCATACTCCCACACCTGGCCTAACCCACCAGGAAAGGACGTCCTGAGCATGCTCTATAGCCGGCCTAACCCACCGTGCTACATCCACGCTTTGTGACCACACCTTTATTTTTAATAAGAGCTACTCAAGGGTGAGTAACTCTTCAAAATAACCGAACTAAAACAAAAAGCTTTTGTGAAAACAACTAACTAAAATCATAATTAAAAAATATTAAATTAATAAAAGTTTTATAAAATGTAAAATCACATGATGCAATATATAGATCAGAATACAACACCAAGGACGAACATCAAAAGACAAGACGACCTCACTACACTCGAGAGAGAATGACCAACTATAATCGATATGCCGCTCACAATCACAACTCAAAGGATTTAGAGTACGACTTGACCTCGCAGAAAAGGACTTCATTGAACTAGACCAATGACCACCTCGATGTTCAAGTATACGTACAGATCCGAGTAACCAGGCATCCCCTCCACGCACAATCTCCACGCCATTCCCGAGCTAGATCAAACACAAAAGAAGTTCTCTCCGAAGAACAGAAAAACCTGACATAGCCAACCATTCTGAAACCAGAATTGATGCTGTTGCAGAGACTCAGTCGTTGTCACAAGAAGAACACAACGTCTTGTGTCCTCAATTCCAGATCCCTGGAACTTCCTTAACAAAAAGGAAACAAAAGAAAAATGATGTTCGCCAAATACCAACGTCCATCATCCATCCTTGAACTACAAAAGAACTGTTCTAAAAAACTCTGTAAAACCCGGATGGGTGGAACCTGATCTAAACTATATTTTATGATTGGATAAATTAAATGTTTTACCAATGTAAAGTATTTAATATTAACCAATCATGATCCATCTAACTAACAACCCACTTATTTGTAAGTGCTGAAGTTACTTGTAATTTCAGCACCAGAGAGATTTGAATTTAACTTAGAAATTAGTTGGACTCTCCCGAGCACTTCAGCAGCCGCAATAAACCAGTATACCCTAGATCTATTGAGCCTAGCAGAGACTAGTTAAACAACCTGAGACTAGATAGTATAAGAGTAAGATTAGGATCGGTATTAGACTAAGAAGTTGCACGAATCTATCCGGCCGAAAATAAGATAGCGTGACGAGCAGACGGTGTACCCTATCCGAAATTACTCTATGAGTTACACTCCAGTCCTAACTCACTATGGAGTTTGGATTTTTTCTGAGAAACTTGAAATGTCCTGTCCGACTATCCTTTTTCTGCGTACTTTGTCGGCTTTCCTTCCAAAGCATGGACTTCTTGTAGGATCAGAGAGTTTTCGCAATAGCAGAATGCCGTATCTTAGATGTGTAAAGATGCTTTTACTTTACATATTTTGTATAATTTCCGGTTTTAAGATAATTATATTTTGCGTTAATGATTATACTACCTAAATGATTTTGGCGTACGTGATATTCAATTAGTGACCTCGTAATCGATCATTCAAAGAGCGAATTTTGACTCAGTGGTAAATTAACGCTAAGCATAGCGTTTCTCGTTTTTTTTTAAATTGAACATAATTCGAGACATACATAATTCGAGACAGACATTGAACATAATTGAACATTGGAGAGATTTTTTTTCTGTAGATCATGTAATTCATTCATTCATTCTGTAGATCATGTATTTTTTTCGGAATTGTTTTTGACTTAGTGGCTTTCGTCTCTTTTCTGTCCGCTTGCTTGGAATTCTTTAAAATAAAATGTATGTACAATAAGGTTCCATGTCGTTTTGCCCTGCTCCAAATAACCTTATTCCGTTTTAACCCTGTGTTCCACTCTACATAATTCTAATTACATTATACGTCTGACCGGCCAGGGAACACCTCGTGACCTCGTGACTGTGGTCATTTCTTGTAGATACCAAATTTTCTCCACGAGTGATTGCAGTCACCTTGTGTTGTGAGTGTGCCAACGTGAGCACTTCCAATGTTCGTTGCCATTCTTTGCTTCTTGCTTTTTTGTGAATTCGTGTTCGTCCATTTGAATTGAGTCCACTAAGTGCTCGTGTATAAACCGAGACAAGTTTTGAGTCTACATGGTAGAACTCAAATGAATTAACTTTTTCATTCATGACCCTGTAACGCCTATTGTGATAAACGATAAAACTTAATTGTGGAGTAATTTGGCATAGGGTAAATTGGCGTAGGTTAAATTGGTATATAGGATAAAACTGTATAGAGTAAAATGGCATATGGTAGATCGGAATGGAGTAAATTGTCCTACTACCGTATAATACATTGATCCGAATGGAAGGCATAGGAGGGATTCTTAGAGGCATCCGTTTTTGTGGAAGTCTTACCCGATTTTTAAAACCCGAAGCACTCAGTTTCTTTTCAGCTCTTGAGAACAAAGCAAAGCAAGTGGCCTTCCCTGACATCCCACCTGAAGTGGACAATGGCAGTGAAGACGAGGAGGCTTTCGAGGGTGCAGACGGGGACCCCCATTTCATCATCACGTTGAGAGACATGACTGTGTGTTTCAATGTGGATGGACCGAATGGAAGTAGTGTGTTGTTGCTGAAGGATCTAAAAAGAGGTGTGATCAGGGGTGGATTAGTTTTTTTTTCAGTAGGGTTGAGGGAAGCGGGTGGGATGGGGATGTTTCGAGAACCTAGGGGTTTAGAGACGAACTTAAAAAAATGCGTCGAACTTTATCTCATGCTGCGCAAATTGAAGGAATAAGCTCTCCTAAAACCCAAAAGAAACAACCGTTTCTCTGTTTTGTTATACTTAGCGTGAAGAAAATGATTTTTTCAATCCCTTAGTGCTACTGGAAGGTTGTGATTGAAAAACCTAGAGCATATGCTTCCCGACTTTAAGGTATATTCAATGTCAAACAAAAGTCTTAAAATGCTCGAATAACTACAGATGTACATATTCATTTATGAATGCACTTAGGTATATATGCAATTTTTGAGTTCTATTGAAATTCATCTGCTGAAAGTTTTGTAAATAGCAGTCTCCAAATACGAACGTGGAAATGGCGTGAAAAAACGTGAACAATTTCTAGTTTCGAACGTGAACAATTTCCAGTGGAATTAAAACTTCCAGCGGAATAAAATGAACATTTACGCAACTTGATCCAGTTTTCTCAAGTTGGGTTATTGTTATCAAAAAAGCGCAACTCATAAATCGTTCTAGAAACTCAAAGAGCTTAAAGGGCATCTATTTTTTCGTTTCAAGTTCGAAAGTTGAGATTTTTTCAACAAAGTCTGTTTTTTTTTTGTTTACTTGCATTCATTACTCCTTTCCAACGTCAGTTGACTATGTGTCGATGTCTTAGTGCAAAAGTCTCCAGAGGAATCTGCCTGGTTCAAAGATTGTCACCATTAAAAACAAGCAATAATGATGTGTGCTTTTCAATGGAGATCATATTCTCTAAGTTTTAAGAAGCGATTAGAGACGCGCGCCGGCTCAGCCGAGCATGCTCGGCGGCTCGAAGCGAAAATTGTCGGCGGCGTCTGCTCAGCCGGCTGAGAGCATCCTGGTTTTCTTAACTTTTAAAAACGGACTCTGAAATATCTTCATTAGTCGTGTACGTCTTTAACCAGCGCATATTTTTCATTAACAAAAATCAAGTATTTGAAATTAGTGGCTGATAGTTGTGATTATAGTTACACATAGTTAACTAATTAGAACGATGGCTAACGCATTAGAATAATAGCTGACGCAATACAGTAGCTGGCTCATTACTGTATTACTCACAAAATGATTCAGCTGAGGCTGGCGCAGTGTGTATTTTGTGGCGGCGGAGTGTTACTTTGAACTCCGGCGGCGGCTGAGCCGGCTGGCGCGCACCTCTAGAAGCGATTCTGCTAAAGTTACAACATGAAGCCATTTCAGTGATAAATTACAAATTTTGTTTATAGGTATCGAAGTTCATGGCCTCATAACCCATGGACGAAACTCCGAAAACGAGTCTGCTAGTTATTTTACGACCATCACTGTCACACTACACCGAAAACACGACACTACCCGTGATTACGTAACATTCAACTCCACTTACGTAACATTCACTTCGAGTTATGCAGTAATGAACTCCAGTTACGGAACATCAAATGACGAATCATTTCAATGGAAAGTTGGATCAGTGTTTAAGCATGGAAGAATTGCGCTAAAAATGAGTCATCATAAAGCAGAAGCGGAAATTTATTTCGGAGAGAAAATCCGAATCAAAGTGATCCGGCATATTCGAAGACGCAAATTAATCGATGGATCAAAATTTTCGTTTCTGGGAATATATGTGATGCGTGGAACTCAGCTGACTAATTCTTCGAGTGGATTTTTAGGTAAAAATTTTAAGTTATTGACGAGGATTTCAAAAAAAACAAAAAGCTTTAGGACGTAACTAATCGGACCACGTAGTAAGGAGTAAATTCAGATTCAGATGTTTTTCCTCGTAAAATCACGTACCTTAAATAAATGTCAGATAGGATCGACTGGATTCTTTTCAGTCAGATATCGGTTAAAAGTTAGGCATCTACACGAAAAAAACTAGAAAGAAATCTGCGAAGTTGGATTTTGTTTTTAGAGGAATATACTTACTATGATGGGACGTTCTATGCTGTTTGCTCACCACTAAAGTGTTTATTCAAAGATATGCTGGTTAGCTAAAAATTTCAAGCTTTGAGTAGTAGATGGTAGAATTTAATGAGATTGTTGATTTCAGGAAAAGATTTCTTCAAAAATGTCACTATTACGAGTGAACCAGATCTTGTGAAATACAACAGCACCTCACAAGTAATACGCAGCAATATTTTGATTAATGGCAGCTCCTACCCTGCAAACTACACTACAGTAATTGACAACTCAAACTTGACCAAGAAAAAGTGCTGGAAAATAATGGGAACATTCTATGGGAATTACTCGACTTTTGAAGCCACGGCATCAAATATTATTAAAACTTCGCAATAAAAACGACGAAAGAATAAACTCTTGATAGTATTTAACCTTTAGCTTGAATGAATTGTGATTGCAATCATAGCATTGCATGTGGGCACTGTGCAATATGCCAATGTTTTTTTTTGAAAATTTGGTGGTAAAAATTATGAGTTCAGTGCAATAATTATTAAACAATTACCTCAATTAAACATTTTTTGACAAGTTTCAATGAACGTAGTGCGACCACTTAGATAGGTGATGATTTTTCTTTGTTAAGGAAAAAGTCCATAAAATCTGTTCACCCTCAAGTTTGATTTTTTGAGGCTTGGGTTTGATTTCTTTTTGTTCAGTTGAAGGAAAACTCCACTCGAACAGAAAAAGTGTAAAGGTCATGAAAAATTCACGGCTTTTAGTTTCGATAGTAAGTTTTTGTTTCAGACATCCCAGCGAAATAAAAAATATTAGTTGTTGATTCAGTTTTCTCACATTGGGTTAATTTTATCAGAGAAAGTCGAAGTTTAAGTAATTTCAAAAGAAGTCCGTTTTTTGTTTATTTGCTGGGGTTCATTGAAGCTTTTTCGACTGTGATGTGAGGTGGCTATGTTTTAAAATTAAAGAGCTACAAGAGTCACGGCGTTTCTAAGTGTTACGCAAAGACAAGAAGAAAACGACCAATTGAACCTCGCGAAAACGAGTAAAGAGTAGAAAAATTGCAGGGGAACAGTACACAAGCCATGATTATTCTTAGTTTAAGTTTCGCACCTTTAAATTGCTCGCGTTCACCGTATTTTGATTACAGCCTTTTGATGAGAAATTGTTCCCCCTCCTGTTGGCTTGAATGGTTTTGGCGAGGTGAAGTTTTTGCCAAAAAAGTGAAGCACTGTGTACAGTATGAACGTTTTGTTGCCAGTCAGGGGGAGGGGGTTTACTATGAAATGTTCTAAATTACAGCCAGAGCGTAAATTCAAAAAGAAAGGAGAAATTCTCAACAAAAAACAAAACCATCATAGGGTATGCAAAGATCAGTGTGAAGATCTAATTTGCATGTTTTTGAAGTTAGACCTAATTCCTTACCTAAACTCAATTTAACGCCCAATACCCAAACCCCCAACTGTAAGCTATGATCGCAGATGAACTACTTTTTACCTTTTGTGGACGTTCAATCTTTTGATGGTTGTAAAAAATACCAATCAAAAGCTGCTAGTTGAATTTGTTTTGAAGAAATGCATTTGCTATGTGCAACGAATATTACAGGACAATAACTCATTGTTTTTTTATCAAATATCTACCTATTATATATTTAAATGCGGGCTTCACTATCTCGCCATGTTTAAGCTATTTCAACATATTAGTTTCGTATGTGTTACGAAAGAATTTTTTTCACGTTTAAGCTATATCGCACATTGCAATGATTAAGCGATTATTTTTTCGATTAACTAGTTTGAATTTGGTGTTCGTTTCACCAATTTAGAAATTAGCAACCCAATGATGAGATGCTGTTAGGTTCCACCTCCAATTATGAATACCCAAATCATTTTAGTTGACAAGATACGACGCTTTATAGGATTTTTCAAAAATTTTCAGAAAGTTTGAATCCAAAAATTTTACATCTGAAATTCTCAACCATATAGTTAGGCGCTGTCTGGGTTCTCTCAGGGGTTGCAAATCTTGCGTCAAAATGGGAGTTGCGTTGTAGTCTTTGAGATAAGTCGTTTTTTTTAAAAAAAAAACACTTCGATTTAAAAAATTTGAATTTCCCAATCCTGAATCTTGTAGTGGGGCACTGTGAGGGTACTCTCGGGGGTTGCAAATCGTGTGTCCAATTGGGACTGCTCGGATGCTTTTAATTTTTGAGAAGTGATGTTTTTTTGTAAAATTTTTCAGTTCCAATTTTTATACTGGGGATGTGTCAGGGTACTCTCATGAGTTGCAAGTATGGTTTCCAATGCTCATGTGCGTTTTCGAGACATGACGTTTTTTCAATATTAGAAAAATTCCAAAAATTAATCAAAAAAATTGTATTGAAATGATTGACCAAATGGCCAATGTATCATCACTTAACTTTAAATTAGCCTAAGAACCAAACCATTCAAACTGCTTTTTCTTTAACACTGGTATATATTTTTGAGCAGCACATAAGAAATCTAGATGTTCTTCGCAGTTTTTTATAGAGTATCAAGTTTTTTTAAATCAAAACATTGCAACAAATCAGTTTAAAACGAGTTTATAGCTTGAAGATTTTTTTAAACTAGTACACGTTTACCTACGATTTTATGATAGTATTTTTTGATTGGAAAACTGAATAAAAAATAGCTAAGTACTGACTCTATGTGTGCTCGCTTAAATAATTGCTTGATCATCTGTTCTGTTTAAGTCGACTGATTGTCTAAGCAAAATCTTCCTTCAGGTACAAAAATGAAACGGCATTTTCAACCTGTTTTCAAAAATTTGCCTGCTGTCAATATACGGTCTTTATAGTGTTCTAGAACTGCTCGGAAAGTCAGTTTGGACAACCTATAAAAAGTCAACAAAATTGAAAATGTTTTCTGTAAACCCGCCTCCCACCCTCTTGGAAAAACCCTAGATCAGTCCCTTCTCAGTAGGCTTCCTTTAGATGTGGTCTGAAGTCATTCTCAAAATGGCATTTTATTATTATGCGCCCAAAACTATTCTTTGACAGGACTTCAAAACATTCGTAGACGTGATTTGATAATTTTCTACCACTTGGTCTTATGGTATTCTTTAAATTCGCTTAAAGATAAACTGAAACATGGGCTGAAGTAATTATTAGACGCGGTCTTCGATACACTTAGTCGAGTTATGAAGACATTTTGAGACGTTTTGTGAAAAAGGTTTTAGATTCGGCGGAAAACATTGTTAGACGGGATCTTAGGACATTCTTTCTTAGACGTAGTCAGAGTTCCTAAACTTGGTCTAAAGGAGTTCTTAGAAAGGTTCTGCGAACATTGTCAACAAATCATTCCGAATTGGACTAAGGTCGTTAAGTGGTCACCTTGAGTTGAGCTGTTGAGAAGTAAAGATTGATTATCGCGGCCTTGAGCGGACAACTGCAGAAAACCAAGCAATCATTGACTTCTTGAAATCTGTGATATACAACTGCTCAAATTTTACATTTTGATTTCTACATTTGAGTTAGATTTTAAAAAATGATATCAAAACGGTAAGAAGAAGCTCGTTCAAATAACTCAATGAAAAAGATTGAGTCGTACTCATTGATTCGTACTCAGTAAAAACTTACAAGAATCAATAAAGCAAAATTGCCTGGTGTATTTTTTGATATTGAGATCCGGTCAAGTTTTTTTTGGCATAACTGGGAATACACTAAGATTAGGAATTATTCGAGCACTAATTCAATGGTGCTCAAAATAAACGTAAGTTATAGTCAGCTCAAAATTAGGATTGCTGAAACGCGAATTGTGCTGTTTTTGTGCATTCACAGCACTGATTTTCTATGGGCGATGAACCTAAAAAAACATAATCATTGCTCACTTCTATATAATGGCAGATTGCTTCAGAAAAAAAGCCAGCACGAAACAGCCAATTGTAAATCTGAAAACGGCGGTGCCAAAGGGCAAAGTATTTGAAAATTTTAAAAGCCTTAAATAATTAGTAGATCGAGAAATCTGAAAACCTCAAAAGATCTCACTCTGTTAATTATTTTGCAACGCCGGCAAGTACTAGAAAAAATGTGAGATATTTGTTTTTGTACATAAATTTTCTACCTAGATTTTGATCAAAATTGCGTTTTATCAGAGCAAAATCAGTTAAGAAAATCTGTTGATTGCTGTAAATATTTAGGTATTTTGATTGACAAATTTTTTTTTCAAGCATGCTGAAAAAAAATGTTAAAAAATAGCAAAGCTCTGTGGTTTTGCTTACTACGAGGCTACACATTATAATTTAAAAGAACGAAGGTTTTTTTATAATCCTTAAGTTAGATGTGTAATTCAATTTGATTTATTGTTCCGACTTTCGATACAAAAGTAACGGAATATTTGTGCTCGGGTTGGGTTTTTTTTTCTTCAAACAAATTTCGACCTTTTAACTAGCCATTTTTGACGGCGGAATTTTTTAGTATCATTCGAAAGCTATTGTTATCCTGAGCTTAAATTTGAAAAAATATTTCACGTACGACATTTTTTCGTAAAGTTATGGGGGTTTAAAGATTGCCATTTTGGCCAATTTGGGACAATTAACGCTCGATATATTTCGCTCTATTAACGCGTAAGCGGAGATTTAATCCGTCTTAGGAATCGTTCCAAGTTGGTGGGTGAACAAAAGCTTATTTGCCATAATTTATTTGTTACAATGAGCGAAATCTATCATTTTTTTGTACTTAATATGGCGTGTGGGGAGATGATTTTCATTACAAATTTCAAATTTTATAAAGAACAAATTTTCATTTAATTTTTATTTTTTTTGTGATTACTGCTCCATAAACCTCAAAAGACAGTCGGAACATTCAGGGGTTCGCCCTGATACGAGCAGTCTTGTTGGTATATAGTTGCACATACAAAATTTATTTACAATAAGTAAAAATAATAAGTAGAGCAATATTTTTCAATCAAAAATTTGAATCTGCACGTGTTATCATGTTTTCGAAATATCTTGCACTGAACCCCGTTCAAGTCAATGCAAGACGAAAACAGCATGAGAAAAAATGATATTGAATCAGGAACAAATGCATATCAAAAATGTAAAAGAGGCCATTTTGCCATCTATTTTTTGTCGGACTAAATATTTGAAGAAACGTTTATTAATAGCATACATTTTTTGCATAAAAGCTTGCTTGTGCTCGTAAACCTTGACAAAATGGATTTTACAGACTGCTAAAACTTTGGCAAACATGTTTTGCAACTAGCTGTATACGATAATCAAACAAAAATTTATTTGTTTTTGATCTAAGGTTCACTCTTTTTGAGCTCGAGGCCCTACTTTGAAATGATTTAAAATTTTTCTGCTACATCGACGTGACATATAACAAAAACGGCCCTTTCGGTTTGTGAAACTTTCTTACTTTGAAAACAGGCGGTAATCATTCTCAGCATTTGCTTAAAAAATACGTCATTTTTGATTGAGACATTGCTTGATTGAGAAATGGGGTAGTAGTTTTCTCAAATGGTCCATCGGAAAAGAACGACCTTTCGACGGATTGGATAATCATTTGAAAATGAATCGCGTAGATTTGGGGGAAAAATTAACGCGTATGAACAGCGTATTGACTCATTTGCCAACCGGCATCCAGTTCCAAGCGTTAATAATCGATTATATTACGATTTTAGTACCAGTCTCACTAAAATTGCGAAATAATCGATTTTAATCAATTAATAATCAATTATAATCTCTCTTTTTAAAATCAAAATATAATTAATTATAATCCATTATAATCGATTATAATCGATTATTTTTTCGTCTATTTTTCGACACAATTATAATCGATTATAATTGATTATAATCCATTTTTTTATTCAAATTTCTATTTCATTAGTTTTGCACAAAAATCCGTTAAATCGATTATGATCGATTATAATCCCTTTTGTTTGTCCATTTTTGTCTTCGAAGTTGCATCTAAAATGTTTATATTTTATGCTTTTTGTGGACGTTGGTTCCAATAAAAAATGAGAAAAATATTTTTAAATTTTTCCAATTAGTTCAAATTTGTAAGTTTTTTTTCATTTCTTCCCCAATAGAGTTGTTTTGCGATGCACATAGTAAGTTTTTTTGGACACCAAAACATCAGCAAATTGATTTAGTTTCATGATCGATTCGGAAAATTTATTTTTCATCTACCGCGAGAACCTTTCCACTCACATGAAAGGATCTCTATGAAACTTTTGTTTCGTGGTAAAACTTTGTGTTCAGATGAACCAAAGTGTTCAAGAGATCTCTCTTTTAGAGATTTTCTTATTGACACAAAAATAATAACCCAAAAGATATAATTCGAAAAAAGAAAAATTTTGGCAAATTAAGAGATTATAATCGATTATAATTGATTTTAAGGGTTTTTAGTAAGAACTATAATCAATTATAATCAATTATAATCGATTATAAAATATTATAATCTCATGGAAAATATCAAGATTATAATCAATTATAAATATCTTAAAGACCTAATTTTGGTAATTATAATCGATTATAATTGTCAAAAAATCATCATAATAATCCGTTATAATCGATTATTTACGCCTAAACTTGGATGCGGGAATGCTCAACCCGTTAATTGTATATGTTCATCTGGATTTGCATTTTTGGTGTTTTTAAATTTAGATGAGAGAAACACTCATTTCTGGCATTGTGGTATAAGTTTACTGCCTATCTGTCTTCATAGCCCGACATAAGGCCACAACCATTTTCTCCTTCACTTTTTCGTCTGTTATCACAATCGGTTTGCTGCCCCTCACAAATGTTTCTCTCCACGTGAATCTGTACTTGTCTTTGTCTCTGCTGAAGGCATCTGTCATACCGGTCTCCAGGTCGAATTCAACACAAACACCGCCACAAACTCCCCTGAAATGTCATAACTTTGAACTCATGTTTGGCTTATTTTTTGGAGGTTTCTGGAAAATTTCCACGTCAATTGGGCTACAGGTTTGATCACAATTTTTTGGAATTCCGAAGTGACAAAAAAGGCACAAATAATACTGCATCAGCTACTTAGTCTGGAAAAAAATCGGTCACAAAATTTAAAATTTCACAATATAAGTTTTTTACCGAATAATATTCATTCTGTGATCCATTGCGACCTTTGAAAAAAGCCTCGAAAAGCCGTCATTTGGAAATCCAAAAGAGATTTCATCGCCAAAATCTGAGTATGGTTTGTCTGCAAGTTTGCTATTCAACCATTTTGTCAACAAGGAATTGATTGCGTCATTGTTGAATGTTATGTCATCAACTTTGTTCACAGCAGTTATGTCATTTTGATCAAGTGTCGAAGCCAATTCGAAATGTTTCCCAAGTTCTTCAGTCCAGACATTTTCAGAGTCCACTTTCGGTAGTTTTCGACGATTGCAAACTGGACAAAATCTGGATAGATTTTTCCGGTCATCCAACTTAGTAAGAGCCTCAGTGAAAATATCCAGGAGCTTCACGCGAGGATGAGGTGTTCTTTTCAAGTTTATAAAAATATCTGTTTTCCAAAAACTCTCTTCATGAAAAAATAATTGCAGATGTTTAAGGAATAACAAGGAGCTTCACTGATTAAAAATTTTCAACTCGGAACGATGTTGACTACTCAGCCTTAGATGGATCTTTTTCGAATCAGTACTCATTTTTAAATATGGTCGCGCCATTTTTAACGAGTTTCATTCAAAAAGCTTGACATACACGAAACCCGCTCAACTACCAAATCCATACAAAAAAACAACCGCACAGACCGTGCATGTATCTTAATCAATTATATTGTCATGTTTTAGTCAATATCTACAAAACTACAAAATAACTGATTATAATTCATTAAGAATAGATTACAATCCTAACTTTTTTCAGGTCAATATAATCCATTAGAATCAATTATAATCAATTAAAATGGATTTTGTTTATGAAATTGATAATTTTGCCTTAAAAGTATCTCTTTTCCGGTTTAATGCAGTTTACGCTGAAACGTTTCATAAATTTATAAGGTTCACGTTGTATTTCAATTCAAGGCAGCTTTTCATTTTATTTTTTTAAAGCACAATCGAATTTCCCCTAACCCAACCCCTCCGTCGCCTAAGTAGGGGAGGGGGGTGGGTGTGTTTAACAGTTGAACGGGAGGGGGCTGGGGTGGTTGTAATTGAACGGAATTTTGTCGCGTTGTCTTTTTGTGTCCATTTGGTGTTTTCCGTGCCCCCTGCTGTTTAACCTACTGAGGGAGGGCGAAGGGGGAATTAATGTGTGGGGGGGGCGGGGGCGGGTAGTGTTAGTTGAACTTATTTTAGTTTACACCTTATTGGCTTGTTTAGGTCTTTTTACTTATTTCGCCCAAAATGATGAAAACAAATAAAAATTTCAAATCAAACAAAATATTCAGTTTCAACTTATTATTACATAAGTTTCACAAAGCAAATAAAGAAAGTTTATGGTGCCGGCCAAATGTCGGCAATTTTGTTTGATGATTTGAGCAAATGGATTGCGGTTATTCACAATTTGTCTCTCTCCGGAGGCTATTTTTATGCGCGAAGGACCAAATGGGCGAAAAAACTCGTGGTCGAAGGACCGAAAACAAAGTTAGGCGAAAGTCAATTTTTAAAAAGAATCAATTGCCATTCAATTAAAATGAAATAAAAGAAGCAATATTTTGCTTCTTTCATAACGAAACCCTTGACATATAAAGTTTGTTCCAATTCGCGGGCGGTCAGTGACAATTTGAAAATTTTGCACATTTCTTCCGTTTTATATTCAGCCAACATCAATATTCAGTCCGTGGAAATGTTTACTTTCTTTTCAAATTTTAAATTACTGAATTCTGATTGGCTGATTTTAATTTTCGCGCATGAGGGATTCCACCTCCCTCTCCACATAAATTCGCAAAGACACGAGTCCATTTGTGATCTGGCGGTCCCGCACTGACGCTTATTTTCTCGTTTTGGCATTTCGTCATTTTGATTCGATTGATTGAGTTCGTGTGGCAGAAAGAAAATGAGTCGAAAAAATTTTGGCTATGATTTACCCTTTCATGGTGATACCCTTCTTTAATGATATCACTATAAGCTTTCCATTCTTTTGAGCTAACAAGCGTACCAGGTCGTATTGACTGACAAAAAATAAGGATAAGTATTGAGGCGCTGCGATCAGAAACAGCATAAAGAAGTTTTTCCTTAGTTTCTTGACAATAACCGCGAAAAACTTATTGTTCGGGGTAAATCCAGCTAATATTACTTTTTTGTTGCAAAAATAAACTTTCATCGATTTCGACAATTACCCCCCCCCCCCCCAAATAATCGTAGGTCGCTCTAAAAGAGCCATCGCACAAATTTCTCGCTTGCAGGAATTCCAATTAACGGATGATTTTCCACTGATTTCGAGTTCTTTTTTTTTTGCAAAATTTCGCTTTTGAGAGTTCATAATCCCAGGCATAGATAAAGAAAGATATATCATCAATCGATAAATTAGTATTTTTTTTTAAAATGTTTTTTTTTTCGCAAACCATGGGCCTCATTACAATCGTTTTTTTTTGACATCGCCTTCTAGAATTTTTCTCTGAAAGCTGTAATTTAATCTCGTGTCCCTTCGAACAAATCCGAGGGTTACTCAAAATTTTATTCCGCTGAAGCCATTCAACGGAATTTTTAACAGGGCAAAGTTTGATAAAAGATTTGAAATTAATTAGTTTATTAGACAAAATTTGTATATTTTTGGTCATTTTGGCTTACTTTTGTAACTGCTCAAAAATCAATGACTTATTTTAGCGTGCGGCTTCAATTTGATTGGCCGAAATTGACCAATCTTATTCGAGCAGCACACCAACTGTTCTGGTTTTATTTCAAGTTGCTGAAATATTGATTTTGGGCGGAGTAAGTAGTAAGATCCGCTTGTTGTTCCGACTTTCGAAGAAATTGCAGAATAACTATGCTTGGTGTAGTTTTTTTTATTCAGTCAAAAAAGCGTTTTTTATTCAGTCAACATCGACTTGTTAACAAAGCGTTTTTGACGGATTTTTTTAAACCATCTGAGAGATCTTGTAACTCTAAGCTCAATTGAAAAAAAAATGTATCGCATGTTAACGTTTTTTGTCAAGTTACGGGCATTTAAAAATTACTAATTTGGCCAAACTCAGATAAATGAAGGGCGATATATTGCATACTAATAACACGCGTAAGGAGCAAAATATTGCGTTCCAAATTGAATTGAGGCCAGTAATTTAACCCTGTTATCACAAAACGAGACGCTGAAAAAACCCTTAGAATTTAACATACCGTGTGGGAAAAAAATGAAGAAAAAGTGAAAAAAATAATTTTTTTTCCAATTATTCAGCCAAAAAAAAATTTTTGATAATGATTTCAAGTGCAGTCTGAACATTCAGGGCTTTGCCCTGATATACAAGCAGAAGTCAGTCGGAACTTTCAGGGCTTTGCATTGATATAAAAGTAGTCTTATAAATACTGTAACTAGTAGAAAGTTTTTGCCAGTTTTCTGCAAAAATTACCGTAATTAGTACTAAAATAAACTGGATTATAATCAATAATAAAGGATCATAATGGGTTTCTGTTTCAAAAACAATCAGTTATGATCAATTTCAGTTCAAATAATCAATTTCAGTGCCAAAAACAGCGGATTTTTGTATGTGTTAATTGATTATAATGGATTTTCTCCCCAAAGTATTTGATTAGCTTGAAAATATTATCGATTTCGTTGGTCTAAAGTTTACAACAGTAACCGATCAAAATGGATTTTTTTGTCTCAGAATTCTTTTATAGTGTATTAAAATATCTTAAACTCACAAAGACAGGCGCTCATAAAACATAACTTCCTGCTTGGTGTGCTTTTACTTTTATCTGTAATATCTGTTTTTTGTTCCGACTTCTGATACGAAAGTAACGGAATATTTGTGCTCGGGGTGGTTTTTTTTCTTCAGACGAAATTCGACTTTTCAACTAGCCATTTTTGACGGAATTTTTTATATCATTCAAATGGTATTGTTGTCCTGAGCTTAAACTTGAAAAGATTTTTAAGCTGTGATCATTTTTCGTACAGTTATGGGGCTTTAAATATTACCATTTCAGCCAATTTGGGTGAATTAACTCGTGATATATTTTGCACTATTAACGCGTAAGCGGAAATTTAATCCGTCTTATAAAAAAAGTTCCAAATTGGTTGAAGGAAGTTTATTTGCCATAAATGATTTGTTACTAGGAGTGAAATCTATCACTTTGTAGTTTATATGGCGTGTGGGAAGCTGATTTTCACAAAAAATCTCATATTAAAAAAATTGGTTTTATTTTTTTTATTACATTTAAGATTTTCATGTTATTACTGCTCAATAGACCTCACAAGGCAGTCCAAATATCCAGGACTTTTATCTGATACGAGCCGTCATTTTTACTTTAAGCACCCATCGAAACACTCGAATTGCTTTCTTTGACTTCTAGCTGTTTCAAGAAGTCTGATATGAGACAAGCAAAAACTGTATTTAGGAAAATTTTCATCTACTTAACTATCTCCCCCCTTCTTGAAAAGGGTGGAGATTGTTAAGTAGATCCATTAAAGGTTTAGCTCGATCTTTCACCTCATCCCGGGAGTAAGCGGCACAAATTTGTTCCTTGGCTGGGATAACGTCGAGCGCTTGTTCTAGTAGATCTACTTCGTGCTGTAGTTCCTCGTCTTTTCTCTAAAAAACATTTGGCCTTATTGTAATTGTCCCACCGTTGGAACAATTAAGTCTTCGCCCTGGTATACCATCAGTTTTGATGTTCGTTAGTTGTGAATCAGCTTTACTGCCGAATTGTACTGTAGATTATGGTCAAACGTCTCAATTTAAGATAGTTTGAAGTTTTTGCATCCTGAAATTTACGAAGAAAATTGCGCTTACCAGATCTTTGTTATCAAATATCCAAAACTAAAAGCATTTTACTCCTGTTCTTTTTGAAAACTCTTGTTTGAATACATGTTCTCTTCATATCTTATGCTTTGAAACTGTGCTCGTGCGCAAAAACGCTAAATTATTTCAAGGAAAAAAAATCAGAAATAAAAAACCCGAGCCCCAAAGACTAAAATTTATCCTAAAAACGCCAAAGACGCTAAAACAACTGTTCAAAATTATCACAAAAATAAACCCATAACTCATCTGCCGGTTCTTTTGCATCACACCCAATTTGGCACCCAATTTGGAGTTTTTTTTCTGAAAAGGCTTTGGTACCAATCTACACCAAAATTGAGAGTGAGATCTTACGCCAAAATACGCAGCTTTTTCGTCATAATCTCTCAAAAAAATCGCAGAATCATTTCTCGCCCGTTTCTCCAAAAATGCGCGAATAGTGTCATTATGGTTTATTGGGAAAGCTCAAAAAAATCAGTTTGGACGAACTTAAATGAAGATTGCAAATGTTTGTGAAGTTTTGAAAATTCGCCACTCGATATAGCCGTAGATTTACACCTGAGAGAACATACTTACTGATTTAGGCGAGTTTGCTTCGGCATCTGAATCTGCATTAACTGATGCTGATTCGTTGGTTGTAAAATGGTCTTCATTTTTGTCAGAATGTTTCTCTTCAACTCGATTTGTTGCTTCTAAACTTTTATCGGTCGCTTCTGTGGTTTCCTTTGGGGCTACGGTAGTCATTTTAACGCGAATTTTGAGTTTTAAAATTGATTGCCAGTTTTAATAATATGAAAATTAAACTTGATTTTTTTAATCGAAATTTATCTGAGTAATTTAAAAGTTGGGCGTTTTTAAGGTGATTAAAACCAATTCGAGTTTTGATTCAAGTAATCGTTTTTGATATTATCTTTTGATATCATCTTTTGATATTAGAGTTAAACTGAAATTCAAACCATATTTTTGGTGAAAAGTTAGAAAACTAAAAGCCTTTTTATCGCTTTGGCTTACCAGTTTATGCGTTTGTTGCCTTTTTAAGACTCGCACTATTGAGATTTATTGAGAGTTTCAATATATTCAAAAATGACGTTTAACACATGCTTTCAAAAAGTTTTTAGGCCACTTTGAAGTTCAATATGTTACAAAAAAATTAAACAGTTTGTTTTCCTAAAAACAACAGTATATTGTTTTAGTTTCAGTGTTTTCGCACCACTGACTCAAAAATATTCACTTTTAACTATTTTTTATCAAAATACTGATTACTAATTTTAGTTTCCTTAACAGTTGGAAGCTTTTGTAAACCAAACACTTATTCTTTGGTTTTGAGCTGGCCCGTGTCGAGGAGCTCGAGTTATCTTTCAAAATTTCATCAGCTTTCAACAAATTTGAAATGCCTAAGAAAAATATAATCCGATAACAGCTGTACCCGTGTCCAATCATTCATAAAAGTTATCAATGAATACTTTAGAGTAGATCTGTCTTTTCTAAGGTATTGAACAGTCCAAACACATGATTATATGTCCTCCTGAAACTGTTTGATAGCTCTGCAGCTGATCAACCGAATTTAGAGTTTTCAAAAAATATTGGATGGAGTTTTCAAGATATCAGGATTTTTCGAAGATTCTTCAAGATCATTAAAGATATACGAGAATTTTTTTTAAAACATTGATGCAAAATTTTTAGATATACACTTTAATTAAGCATATTAGAAGCAACAACAAGGTCTTAACCAAATTCCACAGGAAAGCTAAAAATCATCAGTAAGTTTCAAGTTTTCTAGCAAAATTGAAACTTGTATTGACGGTTTTCTGATAGTTCATGTTCGCAATGCTCATTTCAATGCTGACATTTTCATGAAACTTTCTTGACAAAAAACGATACTTTTTTGTTATTTCTGTAATTTACATGAGCTAAATTTGATTAGTTAACTAATGCTAAAGCAGTCAAAGGAAAATTTTTGAAGTTTATTATAAATAAAGAATTTTAATCTGATTTTTATTTGCTAGTTCGCACAATTTCATTATTTTTTGACTCTGTTATAATCACAATTAGCTTGCTTTGTTTTAAAACCACAATTTCCGGAACAATTTTCTATTTATCATAGAATCTTGTGCTGAAATTTCGCCAACAATTTATCGAAGTTTTGGGAAAATTTTAAAAATGAAGCTCCCATTTTGTTCGCCAATCACCGAAAAATAACAGGCCAAACTGTGATTTTTGTGCATTGTAAGCGGACTCCGCAATAAGGACGTTCCCTATGTTCTTCTTTTGTTCTTTATTTTCCTTTGATCGTACCGACAAAAAATTAACATGTTTACAGACTTGTCTCTGGAATCCAGGAACATACAGACACAAAATTGTGCGCCTATCCAGTGCACAGTTTGCCCTCGTAATGAATATTTAAAAATTTTTGCTTTCTGTAAATTTCTTGAATTTTTTGAAGAACCTTTGTTATTATTCAAGATTCTTTGGTAATTTTTTTCTTCTAAATTTTTTGAAGATTCCGTATGATGTTTTAAAAATTGATGGAGGTTGGTTGTTTGAAAATTTTCAGTTAAGCAAACAAATGGACTTTTTTGTTTCAGCCATGAGTTTAAATTTTTACCAAAATCCTAGATAGTAAAAGTTGAATTAATAAAAAACCTATTACTCTCATCTAATTCTTAGAGTGAAGTTGCTAAAACCATTTAGTGATAATTTATTAAATTATCCCTAAAAAATATAATACGCTATTCGGTAACTCGAAAAGCGCGTTTATCACACCTGATTTTGATTTTGAAAAAGTTATATGAACTTTTTTCTTAACTTCGGTTTTTGCCTTTTCTCGAATTATCTAAACTCCTGCTCTCAGCTCTATTTTGAATGCGCTCGTCCATCTTTCTGTTATTGTCAATATATGTTTTGACTAATCACAAACATAACTTTTTGATAAACTCAATTCGATTCATCAAAAAACTTAACTTTTAGTGAGATTTTTTAACTACGTAGATTCTTTTTGAAATTTTTAACTGATCTATTGACCTATCATAGTTAACCTATTTTAATGTTTTAAAACTAAAACAGTAGACCTTGGATCTTATGAAAGTTTTCATCGAATTATGATTTGGATTAGAAATTACTTTTAATCGTCGTAAGGTTTTTCTTGAACAAGAAATTTTTGCTTTAATTGGAACTAACAACTAAAAACTAAAAACAAAAAGATGAACAATTTTTTTCAACAACTAGTTTTTTTAATATGCTTTTACTATATTTTTGACTGAGCTTGACATCTGCCCTTTGACAAAAATTGGGTAGAAGATGAATCTTTTCAGAAACTGGGTATCAGATTACTTCAAAATTGGTTATAAAAACTGAGTGGCAACATAATAGAAAAGAAAACTGATAAGTGAAGTGTAATGAGTCTGTCAGCTCGGATGAAATTATATTTTGCAAAAACAAAGAATTTTTTTTGCAAAAACATATTTTTGCGATCGGTTGATGAAGATTTTCCTTTAAAAATAGCAAAATTCTTCCGCTGCAGACATATAACTGTTTTAGAATTACGATAAGCAAAAGAAAAAACGACGAAAAAGTTCCAGAAGTTTAATTGCAATTTTTTGTTCCGATCGCATTTTGTTCAAACTTTTGAAGAAAGTGACAAAATATTTGTGCTCGAGGTGGTATTTTTTTACCAGATCAGTTTTGACTTTTTAAGTACTCATTTTTGGACGGAAGTTTTTGTATCATCTGAAAACCATTTATCTGTTGAGCTTAAATTTAAAAAGAAACTTTACTTGTATTTTTTTGTGAAAAGATATCAGTGTTTGAGAAATTGTCAATTTGTCTAATTGGTGCCAATAAACGCGGAAAATATTCCGTGCTATAAACATGTAAGCGGCTAAGTGAGTTGTTGCCAGATATTAGGTATAAGTAATAAGTTAATTGACGCAAAAACACCACCTTGTTTTTGGCATAGAGCGTGGGTGAAGTTTTCAAAAAATTTTATCTATTTTTTCCAATTGATGCTTCGAAAAACTGTTTTAAAGACGTGGCCCGTAGACGGAATAATCGATGCTTTTCCTTGATACGAGCAGTCTTGTTCCTGTTTCGGTTCAAACTCAAATTCTTTTGTTTTGTTGTCAAATTCTATAAGCTTGGGTTTTTACATAACATCAAGAAAAGACAGTTAAATGTCTTGAATTAGCTTCATTAAAATAATTTTTTCCTACAATTTAGCTTGTTACCAGTAAAAATAAGATTAGATACAATATTTTTTTATCAGCGAGTGTAAATTCTTTGAGCAAATTAGCTAGCAGAGTTATCGTCAAAATTTTATGTTTTTTGGAGCTGTTCACAAAAGTCAGCTACATTTTACTATTGTTGGATATACTTTTTTGCGAGCCAAAAGTGCTAGTCATATTACTTTCATAACATGCAAAATAATTCATCGAAATTTTTTGTTACAAGGTCAAACTTTGCACTGGATAGGCACACACTTCGTTGCATGTTGGTTTCTAAAGTCCAGAGAAAAAACTTCAAGCATATTAAGGTTTATCGGAACAATCAATGAAAACCAAAGAATTGAGAAAGACCAAAGAGCTCGTCCTTTTTGCAGAATTGGGTTACAATTCACAAAATATACAGTTTGTCCACGTAGTGCTTTGCCGGAGAAAAGTTAGGATGTCATAACTTTCCACGGTTAAAGGAGCAATTTTCCTTTTATGGCAAGAATTCTTTTTTTTTCTAGGCAAAAATTACATACGAGGTGCTCCGATCTTTGCGGAGAACTGCTGTCGTGGTCCTGGTTAAGTACTTAATGCAATTTTTTTGTTTCTTTGCCTGGGCTGGAAATTTTTGCATCAATCTCCAGCAACGAGCACTAATCATGGCGTGAGGTGGCATTCGATTGAATTGTAGAGACATAACTACTTCACCACCGCTCTCTGCGTTTTTGGTCTATGAATATCAACTCAGATCTAGCAACCAAAAAACTTAGGCGCATACCACTTGAAGAATAGACAAGCTGACCACTGATAACAGCTTGCTATGAATGTTATTTATTTGAAACATTTCATTTGAGTCCTGAACCCGTAAAGGCCTAGCTATTTGAGTGCTAAGGAATGATCGGCCGAGAAAATGCATCGTTATTCGCATTCTGCTAAAAATCAAATCACATTCCAAATAAAAAGTGACCGGAATTTTGGAACCAAAATGGTAAACTCAACAAAAATGGCGCGGTAATTGAAAGTGTTGCTACTCTCAAGACTATCACGACAGATCTATTGTGAAATGAGGATGGCAGTCAAATGTAAGAAGGTAAATGAATGGCAGCAAAAGTTCTACAAAAATATATAAGAGAATAGAGGATTTTTTCTAATGAAAATTAACAAAAGAAAAAAAACAGTTAAAAACTTAAAACAATTTTGCAAAAAAAATGTTTTCTTCATCATAATCGAATATTAATTGGGTTTAAATCCATTTTACTGTTTCAAAAAGCAGTATTATTATGATAAATTTAAAGCGATAATGATTTCACTGTATAATAATTATAATTGCATGATATGAAACGACAAAATATGATTGTTATCTACAGTGGCGTGCGCAGAATCCTATAAGTGGGGGCGGTTTTTCGAAAAAATTGAAAACTTTGTTGACTTTTTTGATGGTTGACCAATTTGATTTTCCAAGATATCCCAAATTTTTATAAAGACTCAGTTTTATTTTTAAAAAATAAAAAAAACAGGCTAAATATGAGGTTGTGGAAATTTAGAAAATTGCGTTTTTTCCGAGCGCACTCCCCCTTCAAACTTACTCAATTAGGTGCCAATTTTCGGTGACATTTTGGAAAAGTAGGACAAAAATGAAGTGAGGGGTGACGGCGGTCGCCCCCTTCTCGGCAGGCTACTGATTGGCCATGAAAATTCCGCCTGCTCAGGTGGTCATTTCGAGGTCAAACTGTGCACTGTTAGGATCACAGTTTGTTAGGATCACAGTTTGATCGTTAGGTCACTAGAATCTAGAGACAAGTCTTTAAACATGTTACACATTGTAAGCGGATTCCACTTTAAAATTTTCTGTGGATTCCGCAAACCAATAAGTGTAACCTAAATTTTGTCGGCAAATTAT